GCCTTCTTTTGGAAGTTCTGGGTCTCTCTGACCCAGCTGCAGTTAGGTTATTTTCAGATTGCAAAGGGCCAGGCCTTTCATATGCAAAAGCCTCTGCACACAGTTTGGGTGGGGCGGGTCTCAGGGGATCAACAGGGTGGAGCAAGCACCTATGGCTGCTCTCAGTCCTGCCCTAAGAGGCCCCACTTCTCAGTGTCCCGGTAATCGCTGCAAGTACCTCGGAGAGAAAGCTGCCCTCGAGTTCTGGCCAATGCCAGACAGTCCCGCTTCTCCCTTTTGAGTCTGGGTCCCCAGATACTCACCTGTAACTGGAGCCCAGGACCTCAGACTCCTGATTGAAAATGACAACCGCGCCCTCAGCCGCCAGCCCACTCCGCACGCACCTCTGCATCTTAGTATTTTACTTCCGTACTGCGCCTCCTCTGAGTCTCGGTATGCTTTTCTCTTTCCTTCTAGTTGTAGAATTTCCCCTCAGCCAGCTTTCCTGTGGTTCTGGGTGATGTCCGTTCCATCTTTTAGTTGTATTTTTGAAGTGGTTGTGCGAGGCAGCCATCTTGGTTTTTTCTCCAACCCAATTATTAAGGCTTATATATTCTTGGTACTGGGTCTTTGCTCTTGTTTTACATACAGGACATTTTAAAATGAAATATAATAAAAAATAATACAAGTCCATGTGTACTAATGTCAAATGTGTGGTATAAGAAGTGGGTGGTCTCCCTAGTCAGTTTTGCTCAGTGGTTGAGCACTGACCTATGAACCAAGAGGTTACCAGTTAGATTTCCCTTCAGGGCACATGCCGGGGTTGTGGACTCAATCCCCACTAAGGGGCATACAGGAGGCAGCCAATTGAAGTTTTTCTCTCTCATGGATGTTTCTATCTGTCCTTTCTTCTCTCTCTAAAATCAATAAAAATATTTTATTTTTAGAAAAAATAAGTGGGTGGATGGACATAGACAATAGGGTGCTGAAGGCCTGGGGTAGGGGACAAAGGTGGGCTGGAGGGGGTTAATGGAGGAAAAAAGGGGACATGTAATACTTTCAAAAATAAAGAATTATTTAATAAAAAGGAAAGAAAAGAGAAGTGAATAAGAAAAAGAAATGGTGGTAAGAAGTTCAGATGTATACGTTCAGGATATAAGTGAGAAATGAATTTGGCAAGCTTAAGTAGTGAGAAAATATGTCAATGAAAGAATGGGATCTGAATTGGGCTCTGAGGGTTTTAAGAGGCAGAAAAGAGTAGGCATTCAGAAAGGAACAGAAATGGA